GTTGAATCTCGAGCTTGGCAGCACGGGTTGTGGAAATTCCAGCCCAAGCAGTATCTGCATAATCAAAAATGGGGCGTAAGTAAGCTGAGTAAAAGAGGAGTTTACAAGAGATTGGGAGATGGTAACAGTGAGAAGAGAGAATTCCTAAAGATGAACTTGATCGTTTACATATGTAATCGATGTGGGGTTCCCATGAAAGATTAGAGTCAATGAAAATGCCAAGATGCTTATGGCTGGAGACTATGTCTATAGGCTGGGGGAAAGTGGGATGGAGGAGGGGCGGAACATCGGGCTGAGAAGGAAAGAGCATGATTTTAGTTTTAGACAGATTGGGCGATAACCGCCAAGACGACATCCAGGAAATAACTCTTTGAATCCCGTTAGCTAGGTTACTCATCAGGCCAGTGATGTTAGGAGATGCCCGTAGGAGCGTTGTGTCGTCTGCGAACAGTGATGTGCTCGGGGCAGCTGCGGGCAGATCATTGACGTATAAAATAAAAAGAAGGGGGCCGAGGATGGAACCCTGGGGAACTCCGGATAGTACTGTTGTGTCGGCCGAGGACGTCCCATGTACCGTGACGTACTGCGTTCGCCCAGTTAGGTAAGATGTCAGCCATAGCAGGGGATTGCCGTCTACAGTAAATGATCCACGAAGCTTGGCCAAAAGCCCCCGGTGCCAGACGGTATCGAAGGCCTTGGCAAGATCGAAAAAACAAATCCCGACTAGATCTCCAGCATCCCGATGTCGACACACTAATTGCTTTTGATCGGGGACAGGGGAGCACTGATACGCGGTACTGTAGTAGGAAGGCAACACACACACGTTCGTCCCTCTTGATATTTGTACTTTGTACTGTTGAGGCAACGAACTGAAATAATAAAAACCAACCAACCAACCAACGCGCGCGCACACACACACACGCGCGCGCGCGCGCACACACACACGCACGCGTGCACACACACACACACCACACACACACACACACATACAGATGATACACACGCACACACACACACACACACACACACACACACAATCATACACATACATACACGGCAGCAACAGGAACGCAACACATTCAAATGGCAAAAGGCAATAGTCACGTGTGCATACAACTCACTACCGGGATCCCTGCTTTTATTTTCACAGACAGGCTGCCAGGTCGATCAAGCATCAGGCAGGTCAGGCTAGGCAATGGCTGAATGCTCAGCTTCAGAAACCTTGATGATTAATTATGAGAGCAAGTCCGAGCTTATTTACTCTTCCTATAAATATCATAATCATCAAGAAGAAGTCATAACGACTTTGGAAAATGTGTTGCTCCCTACTTGGGAGCTCGTGCTTTGCAGCGGCCCGGCGGCGCGGAACAACCTTTGGCCACCAACTACTTACGTGTGTTTACTGCCGAGGAGGTCGTTCCTACCCATCATATTCTACACAAAGTATGAAAGGCCAGGGTATGGCCGTACCAATCCAAAACTGCTCCTGCATGCCGATCCTGTTTGCCTGACGACTTGCCAGGATTCTCACTTGACTGACTCCGGCACGACTGCCGTCCAGAGCACGCGAGAAGTCCATCGAACCTTCCACTCGGCAAACCTGCAATAAAGCACCACTCCCTGCTCAATGCACAGTGTTTCGGTGTCATGATTCACCCCTCATCAGTTGAGTTTGAGTAGGCTGAGGAAGTGCCTGAAGAGATAACAATATTGCTCTCGAGGTACAAACATCACCAGGGATACAAACTCAGAGACTCTCCGTTTCCAGCGCGACTATTAAGTTAATTAACACCTCTGCTCACGATCTAGAGTACATACCCCCCCCGGGATTATGTACTCTGGTCACGATACACAGTGGGAGTTGTGCTTTCTTGCAGGTTTGCCGAGTCGACGGTTCGATGGACTTCTCTGCGGCTCTGGATGGCAGTCGTGAGTCAGTCAAGTGTCAAGTCGGCGGAATAGCGCCTCTAGTGTGGGGAGCAAACATTTCCCTAACAATGGATTGGAAAGTTCTGGAATTGCCCTCCGCCTCACCTTACCTCAACAGACTCTCGCTCGGAATTTAAGCAGCTTTTTCGTAAGCGCACTTTACAGCATCGATGCTCTTGCAAAGACTTGACCTTGACGTTATAATTTTCTTCTGCTTTTCTCATCTTCTTCTTTTGTTCCTCCCTCTCTTATCAATTTTACCAGCCCACGTATTTCATCACTCAAGCGAAAACAGGAAACCCCCTCGACAGGCGAACAGCCTTTGGGGAATCCTTAAATAGGGAGAGTGAAGTTGAAGACACCACTGCAGCTGAACTTATAGTTGATAAATATGGTGGTAAAGACATACCTGGCAATATGGCGGTAAACACACGCCTGCCCACACACGCTCTCGCTGCAAAGTTCTGGCACTGAGCTCTCCTGTGAGAAGGAGAGCTCTGTGCCAGAACTTTGCAGCCTAGAGAGCGTGTGTGGGCAGGCGTGTGTTTACCGCCATATTGCCAGGTGTGTCTCTACCACCATATTTATCAATCGTTTTAAAAATAGATAAATAAAAATAATACAATACAATCATCGGCGAAGTCACAACCACTATGTCGTACTGTTGTGCCCAGCGCGGGCTTGTAGCTGGTTTGGAGATGATACTAGTATCTGGAGGTCACGAGGTGTTTGTCGCGCTGGAAATGGAGCGTCTCTGTAAGTAAGTTTGTATTCCTCGTGATGTTTGTGCCTGGAGAGCACTATAAGCGGTACTCTTCAGCCACAATCCTCCTTAGCCTATTCAAGCTGAACTGATGAGGAGGGAATTCCCCGAAACACTGTGTACACTATTGAGCAGGGAGTTGTGCTTTCTTGCAGGTTTGCCGAGTGGAAGGTTCGATGGACTTCTCGTGCGCTCTGGATGGCAGTCGTGAGTCAGTCAAGTGTCAAGTCAGATCTGCGGGAAAAGCGCGAGCTCCAGTGCCGGGGAGCAACCAACTTCCTTACGCGAAAAAAACGGGCCGATTTGGGGAAAGCGTAAACATGATACCAAGCGTATATACCTCTCTTGATGATACTCCACTGCAATCATCTATGTTTGTCTGACATCGGCCACCTACAACAGCCAAAGAATATACCAAAGTGAAAAGTTCACTATTTCCAATGCAACAAAAAAGGTACTGCTTTCGCAAGCACTGGATGAAACATGATAATTATCATGGATCATAACACCATGTATCGGAAAGATGATTGAAGAAAATCCAAAGTCAAACCCAGGCAATTATTAGCAGTCACTACTATCAAAGCAGATCATTATTTGCAATAGCGCAACTTGGAAAGCCGGCCAAAATTACAGCACCCTCATGTTGTTGTTGTTGTTTATTTATTTTACATCGCATGGCAAACGGGCAGTTCTGCCCAATATTATGAAAGCGATGACAACCAGTAAGAAGAGTCAGAAATAAAGAGAAAATAAATGAAAATAAAAATACGAAAATGGAAGTAGCAATGAGGGGAGGCAGGGTCAAGACGAGCAGAAAAAATGGATCTCAAATTTACAAGTCGGGTCATCGTAGCATGATTCTATCGAGCCACATCAGCAGGTTACGAAAGCCATTACATTTAACCCAAGTAAAATACGCGTAGCATGCGTTTGAATTCACGGACAGATACTATGGACTTCATACAGTCGGGCATGCCATTCCAGAGTCGGCAGCTGGCTAGAAGCGGTCGGCATGCGCCAGAAGCACTGTGGGCCAGGGGGAGGGGAAGGTTGCGTCCCAATTGACCTCGAGCCATGTATGGTATGACCAGTACTAGGACTTCTACTAATACCTTTCAACACATGGCTGTGTACATGCACACGGGAGGGGGGGGGGGGATTCCATTGCGTATTGTCCAAGATTCTAGCATTACGATTGGACGTCTCCTAGACTACCGTCATGTGACATTGTGTTAGTAGCCAGTCCAGCTTTAATACTAGTAAATCCAGTGTCACAGGTAGAGTCTACAGGTGAACTCGTTGACACCGTCCACACAAACACCAGTACCACACACAGCGCTGATGCAGTCATCAATGTTGGTCTGGCAATAGGAGTCTACAAGTGTAGGACAGCATGGTACAGGTTCCAATACGCTGTCAAATGGATAAACGTTAATCACAGCACGTCAGCGGGAAAGATACAACCTGATGATAACCTCGTTCCAAATAGTTAGGGCACGGCAGGTCGTACCTAATAGCTTGTTTGCGCCCGACAGGTTAGCCCTAGGGCGCCTTTGGCCCTCATGCCAACATGTTGGGCACTCGTACGCCATAAGGCCTTCCCTGCCACGCACTAACCTATAAGTAGTATAATTCGTATAAGCTAATCGGTGTTTAATAGGCTATTAGCTGCCTTTTGGTGCTAGCCTTCAAATACACAAAGACCAAACACAACAGGGACGAAAACACGGATACTGTGAACATGTTACTTACTGCACGTGTACATACTAGTAGAGCGCTGGGGGGGGGGGGTTATGTACTCTTGATCGGACCAAGAGTACATATATACATAGGGTAAACCAAAATAATAAAAAAAAGTTTATGTACTCTTGATCGGACGATATCGGGGTTTGACCAGAATAAATGGCGGCGTAGAATTGATGAATAACATCAGCCAGTGTGGAAATAGATATAGCACTCCGTAGTCCACCCGCTATCTATATTGTTTTCACTGCTCTATATTTCGTCACCTGTTTACTTCATGCCTATAGTATAGCTTCACTGCGACTTTCTCTGTTTAACTCCAGGTCATTCTCTATAACTCCAGATGCGACTTTCCCTATATATCTCCACTCTGGTTGAGACTTTCTCTGTATGACTCAAACTCAGATTGCCAACTTCTCCATACAAAACCTTAGTTGGAGTCATACAGAGAAAGTCTCAACCTGAGTGGAGATATATTATAGGGAAAGTCGCATCTGGAGTTATAATAGAGAATGACCTGGAGTTATACAGAGAATGACCTGGAGTTATAGAGAATGACCTGGAGTTATAGAGAATGACCTGGAGTTATATAGAGAAAGTCGCAGTGAAGCCATATAGGCACGCAGTCAACAGGTGATGACATACAGAGACAATGACGACAAATAGAGAAATGCTGCCATACTGAGTGTAACATACCTACTACAGGAATGGGAAGTGGACAGTTAAAGGTGTCAATATCCTTAGCAGATCATGCAATTATATGAGATACTGGAATGATGCAGAGCCTTAGGCAGAGAAAGTCATTAACTGCAAGCATATTGAAGGATGTACGTGGATTACCGACTTCAATAATGTTTCTTCAATGGATGCACACATATCGCATGCTAGGCAGTCATACCATCTATGGATTCTTCTCGTCTTGTTACAAACTACCCAAGTCACGTAAGTAAAGACATTCAGGACTTCACACAACTTGACACTTTTTCTTCTTGACTTTTCATGATAAAGAAAGAAAGATTCGCGGTTCACGTGAGACTCGGCTGGAGACCGAATTTTCCGCATCCACTGGGACACCACCATCCTCAAAGATCAAGGTGCAGATGCAGCTCCTAAAGCGGCGGGAGGTGAGTAGATCAGACCCACCACCAAAGTGGTCAAAGACCGAAAATCCCATTCGCTGCATCCATGCTTCCCTCGTGCCAGGCCACGAGTTCCCAATTAACTGTGGCTTGCAGCACGGCTGGAAAAGTATCCTTCTGCTTCCAAGCAGGACTTGAACCTGGTACGTTACCCTCTGTTCCTCAATCATGGTCTTACACCATCCCACTATGCCTGCCTGAATGATAATTGCAACTAAAATTTCATTTTGCCAAGGTGCTTCAGTGTCTTTGTTTTCACCCTGATTATTAATTAAAGGATATCGACAGTCAAACGCAGATGAGATGGCGACAGGGATGGATGGGGAACGCAAACCCATCTGTTAAATATCCGAATCACCCATGTGTTCGTAGGTAGTTTCTTGGGGCGGTTGGTTTCCACTCACTGCTTCGTATACCGCGTTTTGGTTCGGCACCTCCGATATTCCATATGCCTCATTTTCGCTCAATCCTTGGGCTGTTCCGTATGCCTCGTTTGCGCTTAGCTCAATTGCACCGGGCGGGTTGCTTGGATTAATGGCAATCTCATCTTTTTGGACGTCTTGCTTTCGCCGCCTAATCGTTGTCCAGATATGTGATACCAGCATTGATAAAATCACCCCTGCTAGAAATCCGATGGTACCAATTATAGCTGCTGTTGAGGAAGTACACGAGATGGCCGGAGAGCTCATGGTACCTGAGCATAAAGCAGAAAAATGAGCACAGATTACAGTGAGTGTCTGCATCTCATCAGTATAGTCACCCCCGGTCTAGTGTTTCACGGAGGTTTACATTAAAATGTTGGTTCTTGTGCGATGCGAACTCGCGAAATACCATTCACAGAAGAAGTCAGCGATGCGACGATGCCTTGCTGATTTGGCGTGAAGTTCAATGCAAGTGTGTACGTCACCATGGTATTCTCGTGGCTTGATATACCTTGTACAAATTTACAGGCAACTCTTGAACCTTTGTACAGCTTTGCTGCAGAAAAGGTCAAAATCGTACGCCACATCGCTTGTCGCATCTTGAAAGTTGAGCTTGGCTCAACTTCTGCGATCGCCCAATTGCGGCAGGTGTGCATGTATGGGCTGCGAGATGGCTACGATTTGGGGATTTCCCGGTTTCACGGCAGTCACATTGCTCATAGCATCGCAAAAATGCTTCTGTGAATCCCGCTTTCCATTTATATTCCTGTGGCGCGCGCATTATGCTTGTCCCTTTTGGTATAAAAAGGGTGATTTTCACTATCTTAGCAATTCTACAATATCTCCCTTCACTGACGAGGGTTTTGTACTCAAAACAGCTGTATGAGGGAATTCAGTACCAACGCATGTGTCGCTTTGCTATAGTGCGTTTCAAAAGTATAGACCTCTAGACTTTTTCAAATAATTCAAATTTGGATTGAGATTTTTGAAAAATTTCTTCGGGACTTTGCTCGAACAATTTTCGCAATTTCCTCATATGAGTTTTGAAACGATGGTACAACTTTCATTTTTGGTGGGAAATATCTTGCATTCAGAATCAAACTGGATGCTCAAGGAATTGAGAAATTTTGATTACTTGCTAGTTATCATCAATACAACCTGACAAATGATCCCATAACCTTTTACATGTATTACCATTAGTACAGGTATATAAGTGTTCTCAATAACTTTCCGAACTTGTCTTATTAGCTCGGTAGAAAGTCACCACATTTGATTTTCGGCCCGGGTCGGTTCGGAAAAGTCCTCCAAACAATGACTGCTGCAGAACATGTGATCTGTCTGCCACAGGTATGGAAAGCAATTCCAAAAGATCTTCGGCATGCAGAGTCATGAATGTAAAAATTAATTATATTACACAACTCAAGCGACATCGATAAAATAAAATCAACAGTTTGACAAGGTCAAGAGAACAACTAACAAAATACAGTACGCGCTCAGTTTGATCATTACAAGTGCACAGGGCAATATGAGACGATTGGCAAGCTGATACAGTGCTGTTACACCACCACAATATCTTCTTGCCATACATGCATGTATGATAAACAGAAAGAGTAACAACAATGGCAGCAATCAGGATGGAGGGGTTTGAAATCGTAGCCAGTGTCATAAACTTGAGTCATGGGACAAGTCTTTGCTTGGTCCACGAAGCAATTTGACCGGAACAAAGTCATTTGGTCCTCCCAGGCCCACAGCATTACAGGTGCTAGTAGACGGAGCTTGGCGCAGTGTTGAGAGATCAGGGCCAATCTCAGCTTAGTCGCTGTGCCACTTCAATGCATTGCAAGTAATTCAGGTAGTTCAACTCCAAGATACGGGTGACAGGTGTATTGCCACTAACACGGGGTCCAGTTAGGGATGAGCTACGGCAAAGAGCGTTCCAATATGTCCATTCACCTGTCCGGACCTCAGCATCGATCTCCTCTCTCATTCACCATAGCTTTCGCGTTACCAGACCGCTCTCCATCTGCCGAATCCCCCCCCCCCCAATGAAGGGCAACTTTGCTCATTTCTTGGAGATCTTTGACTCCTTGTCACAGCGGTTTCGGACTTCGTCAAGAGTTCTGTGAGCTCTACCAAGGTCGAGAGTGAACTACCAGGCAACCACCACAATTAGTAAACAAGTTGGGAGTAATGTTCGACCGTTCAAGTGCCGAATGAACATCTTTGGCAGGAAGAAGAAGGAATGACGATCATTCCGGATGGGCAGTTTTTTTTGTCAATGCAGCTGCCAAAGTGAAAAGGCGCAAAATATCCTCACTTTATTTCACTAAATCTGCTGAATTTGGCCGAGTGCAGAGTTCACCAACGGTTTTTGTTCTCAACGCCACTGAGAACGCGAAAGTAGAGGTCTGGACTTTTGAAACGGACTAATAGTGTGCTGTGGAAATGTCTTGTGGAGGTCAGCTGGAGTGTGCAGTTATGGTGTGGTGCTTAATGAAAATTCATCCATTCGATTTGCGTTTAATTCCCGTAGCTATGCAAAAGACGTTACTTCAGTAACGTCTGGCGCTAGCCAGGATCCACACAGCTTTGATTCGGCAATTGTTTGTTGTGTCGTTGGGCATGCCTGGTGCTATCCTGTACATGCCCCATACATACCATCAAAGACAGCTGGCCACCTTGTTCAAATAGGGCTTTCCACTGCAAGATCATAACCTAAACGGGAAGCAACTTGGAAGAATGTGTATGTATGCGAAGTGTATCAGGGGAATGCATGCGGGGCGACAGTGCGGGTTTGAATTCCATGTTATGTCTTGAAAAATAGGAGAAATGAAAAAAATTATAACATCGCTATGCTTTTTTGTCTAGGTCATCAAGGTCAAACAGTGTCGCATTATCGCAATATAGCTCGAATGTTTAGAGGTGTACTGCTAATGGGCCGGGAATGCAAGGACCGGGTAGATTGCATTGTTTTCCGCGTTGGTTGTACCCATAGAATACTGAGATCATTAACAGAGGACTACGAAGAGGAGCGAAACTAACAGTGGTGACAGTGTTGGAGCTCTGAGCAGACAGCGTCGGCAGGAGTGTCTACACAGAGATTAGAAGATGGGAGAAGAGAGGTACTGCTGCCTCGAGAGTCGCCGTGCTCACGAAAGGCTGCGCCGGCAACAAGAAACAACGGAGCAAATATCCCCTCATGTGGAGACTCGCCGACTGCGTGAAAAGATGCGTCGACAGCAAGAGATCGCTGAACAGGCATCCAGTCGGTAGAAGAAAAGACGTGATCATGCCTGAACTTATTCGGTGTGCGGTAACTGCGGTCCGTAAGCATAGGGTCGTCATCTATGTAATCTATGCTGCTGTGCAATATAAGGATAGGGTAGATTGCAGTGTTTTAATGGGCGCGGTGGTATAAATAGAATGCTGAGAACATTAGCAGAGGACTACGAGGAAGAGTGAAATAACAGTTAGGGTGACAAGGTTGAAGCTCTGAGCAGACGGCATTGGCAGGAGTGTCTACACAGAGAGTAAAAGATGGTAGAAGAAAGGTCCCACCACTTCCAGAGTCGCCGTGCTCGCGAAAGGCTACGCCAACAGCAAGAAATGACGGAGCAATTATCCCGTCTGAAGACTCGAAGACTTTGTGACAAGACGCGTCGACAGCAAGAGACCGCTGAACAGGCATCCAGTCGGCAGGAGAAAAGATATGGTCTTTAACAGGCCCGAACTTGTTCCGTGCGCTGTCCTTAGGCGTAGGGCTGTCATCACCTGACACACCATGGCTGGCCCTATCCCGTACATGATCCGTACCATGCCGGCAAAGACTGTTGGCCTCATGTTGAAAAACGGCTTTCGACTGCAGGATCACAAAGTGACACAACTTGGTAGAATGTATGTATACGAAGTGTATCGAGGGAATGCATGCAGCGCAGGGCAATAGTGCGGGTTCGAACCCAGGTTATGCGTTGAAAAAAGATTGAATTTTTGTTTATAAAAAGTGAAAAAAGAGAGCTGGAAAGCTCAGTGCCCTACGCTATGCCTTTTTGCCTAGCTCATCATGCATGTTATTCGCACTGATGGAAACGTTTTTTTTCTCAGTACAATAGAGGTTCCGGAGTACGATTTTTGTGCCACAATCTGTAGAGGCGCTACGGATTTTTTATACGTCGTTTTCGAGAAGTGAAATGTTCCGGAGTACGGAACGTATGTGTTTGCCGTCATTGCCTAGGTTATGATCGCAAACACGTCACATTCCCGCGCTATGCCTTTTTATTTTAAAAATTTGCACTGAAATCAAAACTTCCCACGGAAATTCGATGTTTCTCGTACCAAATTTGTACGCGAAAAATCTTTCTGCACTCAATGACGCAAAATCTCCATACGAAACAGGGTTCGTATGAAAGCCGGTCGACACGGATTCTCCGTGCCAAAATATCATATGAAGCACGCCTCGAAAAATGCGTAGCGCCCATACGGATTTTGCCACGGAAAATCGTACCCCGGAACCTCTCTAATGATGTGGTCAATCAGTTCTAATAGCATGCATGAGCTAGGCAAAAAAGCATAGTGTAGGGCACTGGGCATTTAAGATCTCTTGTTTTCAGTTGATAAATTCCTACTTCAAAATAATAGTCTATCGTGCTTAGTCTGGGGGTCGATGAGACAGTTTCAAATAGGAAATAGGTTGCAAACCGGAACGGGCTCAATATTCACTTCTCTCTCTCTCTCTCTCTCTCTCTCTCTCTCTCTCTCGGTATTTTGATTGGAAAACATATTATGTCACAGTGAGACTACGATATGTTTTACTCCGAGCCAAAATTCCATGGCTCTGCGATGACCAGAAGCGTCATACCAAGCAGGTGAGTTTTGGACGTGTTGCTTCGCACTGCAACTTGAGTTGAACGTCTCTCGAAAAATAAACTTCTTGTTGCAGATAAACAGCGGCTCGCCTGCCACCAATAAAGCATAGTATACCAAAGAAAACTAATGGAAGCACACACAAGGCTTATTGTTTCTCTGTACTGGCCGTCGTGAAGTGATAGCAATTACCTAATTTCAAAACTCAGGGTGAACTTGACGTGCACTCCAAAACTGTTTCGCTTTGGAGCCACCTCTGTGACACCAAGATTTGAGACAAAAAATCGGGCAACTTGGAGGCATCTGGCCAACACAAAGAAGTGACTCAGTTCGATCGACTTTGGTCTCAGAGCAAACTTCAACATTCCAGCTTCCTTCCACAAACATATTTCGAGTGACCAATCAACGCTGACGATCGGTTTGGGTCTATCCAATTTTTGCTGTCAAACCGTTCCTATTTGAAACCGCCTCCTCTTACCCCCGTGCTACATTATGTACATGACTGTACACACACAGTATGGTACGCATGCACTCCGAAATGTATTTTTTAGAAACACCGTGCAGGCGAACCCACCCCGCACCAGAAACGCCTGTTAGACGTCTCTAAGTAAATACAGTGTACATGTGTTTACGGAAGGTCCCTTAGAATTAATGGGAAATTGCAGATTCGAAAAGCGAACTGATAGGCATGCTCCATTTGTCTGCCGTCAGTGAGTTGAAGGCTGCATTCGACATAGAGGAACATGCCAATCAAGTTGGCGATGGATACTGAGGAAAGGGCTATACACATGTTTCGTACATTATAACATCAGGGCGGAAGCGTTTTACTGAAGAACACTACTTCAGAAAGCTGTTTAATTTCAGACATAGTGTTACGAGTTATACCTGTCCACCAACGTAACCAGATCATGGACAGTCAGCAAATGCAAGAAAATGGCACAATACTGACCAGGAGTACTGAGACTTTCAGGGACCTGATACCTAGCTCCAACACTTTTCCAAGGCGCAAACCAACAACCTTCCACCGTAGATGGCTCAGGTTAGGAAAAGTCCAAAGAGGGGAAGGAAAGCGCAACGAATAAGAGCACGAGCTTTGTCCCACGGCAGAAAAGAATGCCGGAAGTTACTGGATCATGACGAAACTAGCAAGGGGCCGTCCGGGGTTACCAATAGTTTAGTATTTTTCAGCACCCACCCACCTACCCGCCTACCCTTTCTGCAGGTAAAGCGAATTCCAATAAAATATTGAAGTTAACTTTCGACACGCAGAGGTAACTGGGCATTCTCCATCTGCATTCAATAATTATTTTCAAAACGAAACTCCTTCAAACCCACCCACCCCCAAACGAAAGCTATTCGTTTTGAAAATACTATTGGTAACCTTGGACGGCCCCTAAGACTATTGGACATACCGACCTTACTACAACTCGACGACGCAAAGCAACAGACCACTCAACTTGGGAGGCTCAATGTGTTGGAGCTACTTTAAATCGACACATTTTCGGGTCAAATTTCGGCCTCCCAGGGCTAAAACCCATTTCGGCCGTATTAAAATCTCGGCCTGTACTGCTGCTGCATGTATACACTGTCACACTGAACCTTGCAGAACAACATTTCGGCCGCAACAAATTTTCGGCCAAACATGACCAGGCCGAAAATAGCTGAAAGTAAATACGCGCTGAATATTTGTTGACTTACAGTATTTGGATTTGGATGTTTTGATATCAGTTGTAGTGAAGGCAACTCACCATTCTGGCAGTTCATTGTTGGGCATTCGTCAATGGCACTTTCGCAGTTTCTCCCAGTGTAGCCGGTCACACAGCTACACACATAGCCGCCGGGACACTGAGCAAGGTCAATGACAGCATAGCGGAGAACAAGACAGGGTCAGCCTCTGGCATTCTGACATCTCTTACCCAACTTCAACACAGACAGTAACAAAACCACCTCAATGAACATGTCACCAGAACAAAGCATATTCCAATTTTAACAATCAAAGCGAGAAATGAACAAAGGAGAAAGGAAGGAAAGACCAGCTTCTGGGTTAAACTGCGGACAGATTGTTTTTCTTTGTAGACTTATCTGCACAGCAAATAATATATGGCTCACTCATCTCAAAAAAATTCCATCCATTTTATTTGGCTCCGGCTTGCAGCAAAGTTCAAGTGTGGTAGTTCTAATCAGTGTCCGGACCTCGCCCGCAATTGTGTGCTTGGAGCCTGAATATATGCTGAATATATGCTGGATATATGCTGAATATATGCTGAATATATGCTGAATATATGCTGAATATATGCTGAATATATGCTGAATATATGCTGAATATATGCTGAATATATGCTGAATATATGCATGGGATCTCTGCACATCAACCTACTAATACAGGATGACTTTGTAGGTCCAGCACATCATTGTGCTGAGTCCTTTGGCTGCATTTTTTTTCAAGTACAGGTGGAATCCTGATAATTCGAACCTCAAAATGCCAGGAAAAAACTTCTAATTATCCGGACATTCTAATTATCCAAACATGAACCCACAACACAACATGTATGTCAAAATGCTCCCATGGTCACCATGGTCACCATGGTCACGCAGAGTTGCGCTATGGACCTTAGACACAGATTTCGCGGATACTGAACTGACCGGCACAGCCTGCTCATGCAAACTGAACTGACCAGTACAATTTACAGTGAACTTCAAATTACACTTTGCTAACTTCGAATTATCAGCACAAATCCCACACATTTCTATGTACAGTAAAACCTGTGACTACCGACCACCCCTTGGTGCTAGCAAAAGCGGTCGCTAGTAGCAGGTGGTCTTTAGTTAGAGGTTTGCACCGCGCGACCATATATGGATCCCATTTATGGCATTATATGATATGTATATCAAAATGTAGCTAAAACAATTCCCCAAGACTTGCGCAATGCCATTCCTATTTCAGGTCAAACAACACTTGGAGAGAAAGACGGAGATATGGAGAGAGACAGAGAGAGAGAGGGAGAGAGAGAGAGAGAGAGAGAAGATTTTTTTTTTTGCGGACATCAAATTCAGCTCCTACTTCTGAAGCCAGGAGTCAAACGTTCCCTGTGGAAGTTTCGTTTTGCGCTGGGCTTCAAGTTTGTTCATGCGATCAATCGTACCGACTGTCCTTGTTGCGACTTCTCGATTGCTTGAACGCGATTCTCCAGCATCAGGACCTTGCGGTGCTGCTTTGTTTCTGGATTCCTTGATGCCACCGTCGATTCGTCTGTATGACTGGGGTGACAGAGCCACTCAGTCTTCGTTTCTTCTCCGAGTAGTACCATCGATCTGAGAGCGCTTTCGATACGCTCACCAAGATGTTTCCTATCATGTTTATTCTTGACAGCGCTTGAAATTCTGACAGGTGCAGTGAAGTCCACACCGACTCCACAGTCAAAAATGACCTGTGTTCACTTCTTCAGCTGTAGTATCGAAAGATGCCTTTCAGGACCACAGAAAATCATCAAATTTTCAAGAAAGAGCCTCGAGCAACATTTGATTTCCTACATCGCGGTCGCTAGTTACGGGTCAAAAATCGTCTTTGGGACAAGAAAAGGCGGTCGCTGGTCGCGTTCAGCAGGTAGTCGCTAGTCACAGTGCATTTTGAATGTGAGACCGTCCGTGCCTGGCAAAGTGGTCGGTAGTACCAGGCCGGTCGGTAGTACCAGGCTGGTCGCTAGTCAAGGTGGTCTTTAGTTACAGGTTTTACTGTGGAATCTGTGGGACTTCTAATTAACCGGACATATCCAGTTCGAGGTTTGAATTATCAGAAATTTTTATGTGGGACTCGTATTGATAGAAATCGGTCCTGGAATTAAGCCATATTCGAATTATCAGGATTCCACCTGTACATCAAAACATGTGTTTCCAGATCCTGAACCAATCGGGATCCTGTATTGACCAGACAAATTTTCATGCACCAAAGTGCTGTGGATCGAATGTGCATCCCTGGATCAAGATGTATCCTGTCCTACCAGGACAGTTTCCATTGCACCAAGGGCGTCCGGTTAGGGAACGTTAACTGTGCAGTGTATAGCGTGATGGAACACTCACTTGCTCTGTGCAGCTGCCATCGTTCACGCACGGCATTGAGTCGCACTCGGCTATGTCTTGTGAACAGTCAGCGCCAGTGAAGCCAGCAGAACAAGAACACCTGCGGGGAAAGCAGCAAATGCATTCCATGGCACTGTCAATATCACTCAATATCACTGTGAATAGAGGCCATGTCTAGGTCACAGGGCAAGAATGTGAACATAGTGCTGGCTTTCCGTCCCCACTGTCTACATGAGGGAACAGAACTATGCTTGATATGCATGGGATCACGTGACATGCACGCAATACAGAGTTAGGAATCAAGAAATGCTAAAATGCAGAAGAAAAGTGACGATTTTCATGCGTCGCAGTCATCTCTATAAAGTCTTCAGGTTCTTTTCTCACAAAACTGTGTTCCACCCATGATGCATGCGAGCAGGCATGGAAAGCACTAGTGTATGGAGTGTTGAGCACCATCACCACCGGAGCACTGCCTACTGATAGGAGCCATCCGCACAACACAGCACACAACAACAACAACAACAACAACAACAACAACAACAACAACAACAACAACAACAACAACAACAACAACAACAACAACAACAACAACAACAACAACAACAACAACAACAACAACAACAACAACAACAACAACAACAACAACAACAACAACAACAACAACAACAACAACAACAACAACAACAACAACAACAACAACAACAACAACAACAGCACAGAGTAGAATAGCCTGCAGTTGGCAATGGCGAAGAGGAGCAATGCTTACTGGTATGAGCCATCCGTGTTGGCACAAGTAGCTCCGTTCAAGCAGAGCGGTGCCGGTGATGGAGTGGCTGTGTGGCTACACTCATCCACATCCTGCATACACAGCGTACCAGTGCGGGCCGCCGGGCAAGTACAGTTGAAGAAGCGGATGAAATTGTTGCACGTGCTGAACGGGATCAAACAGAGAAAAGAGAGATAACTGTCATTGTGATTGCTTAGAGAGTTTATGTGGGCAGGCGGGTATTTATCGCCATATTGTCGGGTGTGCATTTACCACAATTTTGCTGTTCCCTATGGGGCCCGGGTAAGCCTCATCAGAGTTCCACTATATTTTAGAAACCAGGGAGTCGTACCCAAACCAGGGAGGTGACACGACACAGAAATCCGCGTCTCAGGGGTTGCCTCGCACATGTTGTTATTTTTCGACTAGTCCAGTCCAGTCCAGTCCGAAAGGTCATACGCGAATCGACTCGCCGTTTGTACTTCACCTCCAAGTGTGCAACGCAAGACCCGCAAAGTATGATTTTTCTGTGGGCAAAAATTTTGGCATTGATCAAGTTTTTATTGGAGTGCTCAGGTATACTACGTTTACTCAGAGATCTCGAGCACCCTTGTTCAGGTTCTCTATTTTTGACGAGCCGGTCCTAGAGCCCTACATTGTATCTAACGATGTAGGAGGTGACAATGGAAGAGGGGGATTTCGTGGAAATAGTGGCGATGGTGGTGGGACTGCTGCAGGAAAAGTGCTACCAGTTTTTGACAGTATGACTAGACGTGCATGTAGCTCTCTTATAGTATACTTCCTAAAAACACATTTACAAAATGCTAAAAATGTGTTTTTTAGGAAGACTGGTTCATTATGAAAGTCATACAGAATAAATGGGGCAGATACACGACTTACATTTTTCAAAACCCGGCTTTGTGTTATGTGTACCACAGTACTTTGTTTCAAAAGGATAGGACAGCAGTACCTGGTTTAAGCGACCACCCCACGGTGCAAGAAAAAGCGGTCGCTAAAGCCAGGTGGTCTTTGGAACCAGGTCCCATACATTCGTGGCTTCTCGGATCGTGTACATATATGCGCATGTCTGTACTTCCATTATTATACTCATATTGACAGGTGTGGAGCATAGAATACTTTCGTGCAGGCAAAGCACGCCTCACTCAAGTGCATGCAGCACATCCTGCACTGTCACTTGTCACTTCTGAAGTTCTGTTGACTGCATGCACTTGCTTCAGAGCGCACCTCAAGCCTGTTGCAGTCAACCCTGCCAGCCAAGATGGCACTTTTCATCAGTTAGCCTAGGATACGCCTCTGAACAGTGCTGGACAGTTACCGTAACACTACACGCCGTTGCCATCACTGCTATCGAGTAGTTCGGACATGGCAGGAGCACAAAATCAAAGCCAGCCGGTAGTCTTTCATAGAATATTGATGAGTGACGGTCTGTACACGAAATGTGCTGCCTCGAAAATATTTCAAAAACGAGACACCCACGCAGCACATTTGGAGGTGAGGTACAGAAGGCGAGTGAATTCGCGTACGACCTTTCGAACTGGACTGGACTATTAGTAGTCGAAGAAAAAAACAACGTGTGTGAGGCAACTCCTGAGACAAGGATTTCTGGGCCGTGTCACCTCCCTGGTTTGTGTACGACTCCCTGGTTCTAAAATACAGCACTGACTGACCAATGACCCTCTGCCGTAATTCTATTAGAGAACAGAATCACAGGTTTACTGAGCTCATGTCTCAATCTCCTTCACCACCCCGGTCTTATACTGTAATCGTAAATATATCTAGAGAGACATTTACAATTGCAGTGTAAGGCCGTGGTGGTGAAGGAGATTGAGACATGATCAATTGGCTGCAGTGGAGCCTCCGCATATTGAAGAAGGGTTTTTCTGAACTGTTATAGCTAACCTGTCCGTGTGACAGGGTGCTGACAGACACTCATCGTAATCTAAGTCACAGCTAGGGCCGTCGTAACCGTCCAAACAAAAACAAGTGTAGTTGTTCACCTGCAGCACAGCCAAACACACCACCAACATCATGATCATCCGCGGCTGGTAGAGAGAGAGAGCAGGGAATGATAGTATATCTTCAGGTGTCAGCTTATAGCCTACGGTTATACCGGGAGCACACAGCAGTGTGTGCTCAGATCCAGATGGATCAGAACAGCATCTGCTGCACCATACTAAGAGTAGATAAACAAGAGTGTGCAACTCCGCATCGCTTCTTCACAATCTGCAGATACCCCCGCCCACGGCGGAAATGATTGTTGACGTCACCTTTTTCAGAAACATGTGCATTTTGCTGCAGAGCAGTGTGAGAGCACGTGCTGGGCACTGACCTTGTAATCTAAAGCCCGGCCAAGTGCACGTGGCAAGCAAAACTTCCCAAAAGACTCGCAGCGCGCGAGTCGTTGAAAATATTACGTCGACAATAATTTCCGCAGCAGGCCAACCCATCCGCGAGTTGCACACTCTTGTTTATCTACACTTGACCATACCCAAAGAGGGCCATGGGTGCATAAGGTGGATGGATTGATAAACTCATTTGGCAAGTAGTCAACTGGCAACAAGCATATTCATTTTATACAGAGGTAGTGCCTTATCCTGCTATATAAGGTTAGTAATCACTGCCTGTGACGGGCAGAGCCAAGCAGTACACAAGAGGTACACAAAAGAAGTGAAGGTCAAATTTATTTAATTTATTGAACACAATCGTGTGGCTGAAGCCCATAGGGAGATGGAGTGGTAGATAATCAGCCATAGTATACAATACTATCGGCCATTGCGGGACAAGACAACGACTGATTTCTTTACATCAAACATGCACATATAATAATACGTATGTGTGTGTGTGTGTGTGTGTGTGTGTGTGTGCGTGTGTGTGTGTGTGTGTGTGTGTGTGTGTGTGTGTGTGTGTGTGTGTGTGTGTGTGTGTGTATGTGTGTGTGTGTGTGTATATGTGTGTGTGTGTGTGTGTGTGTGTGTGTGGCCTACCTAGGAGTAGGTTGCACTTTTTGTAGCTCTTCCTTCTGCAAGTTCTGGTGTTTTTTCATTGCAAGTCCCCGCTCAGGGGCGACTCTGGGGTAGTCCAGGGTCGTCCCCGGCCATCACTCGCCATACCGAGAGTGTAGTTTTGAAGCGAGCGGTGAAATCCACGACGTAGACTCCTTGGTGAATTTTTGTTGTCACCACTCTACGTTTGTGTCGCCGTTCGTTGTGCGCTGTGGGTTGGCTACCCCTCGCACTTTGCTCTAGCTTTAGCCCTTTGTCCAATGACTAGAAGAGATTCGAGAAGAAGAGAGAGTAGACAGAGAAGGCAGATAAAGTTTGGTAGTTGGAATGTCCGAACATTACTGAATGTTGATGGACCTGTTGAAACTGCCGCCGTGTCGCGTCGTGTCAAGGAAAATCGGAAAGTGGATCTTGTCGTGCGTCAACTCAAGGAACACGATGTCGAAGTCGGTGGTTTGCAAGAGACCAAATGGTTTGGATCAGCGGAGTATTCGGTGGACAATGCTGTTGTTCTTTCCTCGGGGCGTCCATCCCCAGGAGCGTCTTCTTCAAATTCAAATTTTGAAAATATTCAAAATTCTCAGCGTGGTGCTCAGCGTGGAGAAGGAGTCGCTGTTGTCCTTCGAGGGCGAGGTGCTGATGCATGGGATGCAGGAGGTCGACAGTGGACGGCTAAGTCGTCGCGTTTAGTGTCAGCTCGTCTTCGTTTCGTACATAGTCCAACTAAATGTTCGTGGATGACAGTCATACTCATAGTGTGTTATGCACCGACGTTCCGTTCTGCTCGTTCAGTGAAGAGTGAATTTTTCAATGATTTGGAGGATTTGCTCTGCACTGTACACCCTACTGATGATCTAGTACTACTTGGTGACTTCAATGCTCGGGTAGGATCAGCTCTATGCCGGCCCTGCACCTGATGATCCCTGGTCAGCTGTTCGTGGTCCGCATGGCTCTGGACAACTAAACGAGGCTGGTAGTCTAGAGAGAGAACTGTTGTCATTTCTTGCTATGCATAACCTGGTCATCACCAACTCATGGTTCAGAAAGCGCGACATTCACCAGCAAACTTGGCAACACCCCCGTACAAAAACATGGCATTGTATTGACTATGTAATTGTGCGACGACGTCAGCTTTCGAACTGCAGAGATTGTCATGTCATCCGCAGCGCTGAGTGTTCAACTGACCATCGATTGGTTTGTCTAGCGTACATGCTAAGTCTCGGTGTGTCCAGGCGCCGTAGACCCGCTAACAAGAAGACTGCTGGTTGGTATAATGTTAGCGCGATGACCAAGGTGCCGGGTGCTGATGCCACTGATCATGAAGTTGCTCATTGTTTGCGTGCAGAATACGCTGCTAATGTTGCCACTGGTCTTGACGGATGGGCAGACTGCAGTGCTGTGGAGGACCAGTGGGTGAAGTTGAAGTGTGCCGTCACTGAAGCTGCCGATGCTACTCTTGGCCGGCAAGGTCGTCGACAGCCAGACTGGTTTGCTGCAAATGCAGGGCATCTTGATACTCTACTCACACGCCGGAACAAGTTATACAACAAGTGGTTGCAGTCAAAGACTCACGTCGATCTGTGTGCGTTCAAAATGGCCCGCGGCCATGCTCGGGCTGCAGTGCGTGCCGCGAAGCGAAAGTGGCTGCAGTCACAGGCAGACCTGGCTCAGCATGGGCGTTTCAGTGGGCAGAAAGTTTGGTCAGCAATCTCAGCCATGAAGAAGTGCTACGACGGTCTGCAGCCTGTTCCATGTCGCAGCATGCGGAAGAGTGATGGGAGTGTGTGCAGCTCCCTTGATGAGGAACGCGATTGCTGGCAACACCATTTTCAATGTTTGCTGAACGTACCAAGTTCATTCAACCCTGCAATATTTGACTCAATCACGCAGCGTGACATCGATCGCTCATTGTGGCAACCGTCACCAACATCGGCGGAACTTGTTGTGGCATTGCGGCACATGGCTAACGGCAAAGCGGCTGGAGGTTCCGGAATTGTTGCTGAGTTGCTTAAAGCTGCGTTCGGCACCATATGCCCCTATCTCATCGACCTGTTGAACTCAATCTGGACTAGTGGCACTGTACCTGCTGAGTGGCGTAACGCAGTCCTTGTACCAATTCCGAAGAAGGGAGACCTTTCCAGGTTTGATAACTGGAGGGGAATATCGCTGCTTGATGTTGTAGGGAAACTGGTGGGCCGTGTCCTGCAATCCCGTCTTCAGAGGCTTGCTGAGAAGGTGCTGCCGGAATCGCAGTGCGGTTTTCGCCGTGGACGATCCTGCACGGATGGAACTTTTTGTATACGCCAACTAGTAGAGAAGTTTTATGAGCATCGTCAGAAGGGCTACCTCGTTTTCGTGGATTTACGAAAAGCGTATGATTCCGTGCCGCGCCCTGCTCTCGCTGCATGCCTCCTCAAGCTGGGCGTACCTGAGGAACTCACAGAGCTAATCCTGCAGTTCCATTGCGGCATGGAAGCAGAGGTGCGTGTTGGTGCTGAAGTCAGTGGCTCGTTTCCTGTTGAAAATGGTTTGCGCCAGGGATGCACCATGGCTCCGGTTTTGTTCAATCTCTTCTTTGGTGTTGTTATGATGTGCTGGAGAGATGCGATGCGTCAGGCTAGCACTGATTCTGGTATATCACTGTCCTACAACATCAATGGTCAGCTTTACTCCCGTGCTAAGGGTACCCTTCAAGTGCAACTCCACGACTTTGAATTTGCAGATGATGCCGTTTTGTTGTCAATGAGTCGGGCTGAGGCTGAGCAGTCGCTTCAGACTTTTCATCGTGTTGCATCCTCGTTTGGTTTGTCCGTCAGTTCGTCGAAAACACAATTCATGGTAGTTGGTGTTGGTATTTCCCCGGAGGACAGGATGCCGATGGACATGGGTGGCGACAGCATTTCGTATGTTGAATCGTTTGTGTACTTGGGCTCCCTCATCACGCCAGACACCCGATCCTCACCTGACATCCAGCGACGGATTGCCAATGCGGCAAAGGCGTTTGGCTGCCTCCTACCAGTGTTCCGGGATACCAGCTTGACGGTGGCAACAAAGCGTCATTTGTACACAGCCTGTGTTCTGTCGGTTTTACTCTACGGTGCTGAGTCATGGGCTCCGCTTCGGCACGACTTGGATCTGCTGGACAACTTTCACCACCGGTGCATTCGCTCCATCTTATGTGTATCTCGGCGTCAGCAATGGGAGGAGAAAATCTCATCGGCAACGCTCCGTGCGCGCTGGGGTGACACTACACCGGTGTCAGACCTTGTTCGGCGTCGGCGGTTGGAATGGCTCGGGCACGTCGCGCGCATGCCTGCAGACCGTGCTCCCGTCCAGATTTTGTTTGGAAGGTTGAGTGGTCGTCGCCCTCCTTGTGGTCCCCGGCGGCGCTGGAAAGACGTTGTCCAGAGAGACATGAAGGCAGCTGGCGTGGATTCCTGGTTTCAGAATGCCCAAGACCGGCAGAACTGGAGGATGTTCCTTGCTGAGCCACCACCGCACACAGATGATTCGCCACCTTTGCGCTGCTTGCTGTGTGCCAGAGACTTCCGCCGCCGTAACGACATGGCCCGACACAAGTGCATTGCCCAGCGGAAGTTGCCTGTGTCACAACAGAAGGGTGCCAGGCAATGTATGAAGTGCATGCGGTGGTTGAGGAGCGCTGGAGGACTGGCTGTGCATCGCTGTCCTGTGTCCACGGATGTCCCCACTGTATCCATTCGCCATGAATCTGACTCTTTGCGATGTGATGTTTGTCGCCGCTCTTTCCGCTCTCATTCTGGTTTGAGCCGTCATCACTGTGACCGTGCGAAACGGATGTCACGGGCAGCCAGGAACAACTGCCGTCATGAATGCGAGCATTGCGAAAGACGGTTCTCAAGGCCACAGGACTTGCAACGCCATGCCAAATATTGTTGACTTTGCGATTTCTCTCTCTTCTCTTCTCTCTTCTTGTCGTTGTCTCCCGCTTCTGGGAGCGGCGTGGCCCGATAGGGTAGCTGTACATAGTAGTAGTAGTAGTAGTGTGTGTGTGTGTGTGTGTGTGTGTGTGTGTGTGTGTGTGTGTGTGTGTGTGTGTGTGTGTGTGTGTGTGTGTGTGTGTGTGAGAGAGAGAGAGAGAGAGAGAGAGAGAGAGAGAGAGAGGCTGTACGGAGAGAGACAATATTGTGGCGAACTCTATATGCTGCAGCAAACACTTACCCGGTCCTCGCATACTCCATGCACGCATGGCTGGGGTGCACATTCGTCTATGTTGGTCTCACAGTGAACACCTGTGTAGCTGCAGTGAAAAACACACACACATACACAAGCAGACACACACACACGCACACACACACACATGCACGCACAGACACATACACACACACAAGTACAGATTCAACTCACGTCACAGGAGTACACACTCTGATAAGACATACCCTTGCTTTGTACGGACAATGTCCGGGTGTATTGATCCATTCTGAAGTCATTATGTTAGGATAAGAAGTACCTTGGACACTAAGTAAAATTTCCTGTTCCCCAGGAGGGTACCTCTTAGCAGAGATCCACTGTATATTCAACTCATGATCAACCAAGGGAGCTGCCAACCTATTACCAGATGCCACGCTGTAGAAGGGTTGCATACTATGAGATCTAGACAGCGCTGAAGAATCCCATGCTGAACACAAGCCTGCAGTCATGTACCCCCAGCCAGCTTCCATTGCATGAACTTGGTGATGGCTCCTCACAGCTGTTGTACTGTGTCGCTCACAGGTGAATGTTTATTGCCCGCCTCTGAGCACTTACCCGAGTTGGCATTGACAGGTGTATCCACCGACTTGATCCATGCATGTGCCATTATCACATGGACTGGACAGACATTCGTTGATATCAACGTTACA